ACTTGTGGCTGCAAAACCATGGTAATTGTAGAATCTTTTTGTACAACTGTGTCTATGTAAACGTACCTGCTGAATTTTTTTCTTTCTATAAACTCTTTTAAGAGTCCCATGGGGTTTAGCCTCACAGGCCCAGGGGGTAGTAAAAAACCATAAAATCGGTGCATCATGCGTTCATTGGGCTTTAAGGTAGGAACCTATGAACGTATGATGCATTTCTTGGGACTCAAAGAGTTAACTAATACAAAAACATTTCAGATTCAAAATGTGCATGCATTCCTCTCTCTATATATATATGACTATCCTCCGAATAACGGTCCTAAATTATTGAGGCGGAAAATATACCCTAACAGGGTATCGAACCACGTGTCAATCGCCCCCTTCCGAGTCCCAGCCATCTAATTTAGCCCCAATCCACCCCGCGTGAGTGGCGTAGGGGATACTCTCGGCGGTGGCGGAAGTCACCGGAAGTGCGCAACTGACACGTGACTGAGGCCCTGTTAGGGTAGGTTTTTCTGCCTCGATAATCTAGGACCGTTATTCGGAGGATAGCTCTATATATATATATATATATATATATATATATATATATATATATATATACTTTTATAGGGATTAGAAATATATAACATTCTCAATAGTTTTTTATATTATCCCCTCTGCAATTTGTGCAAGGGGAAGTAAGCCAAGTCTGTCAAAATTCATGGGCCTGAAAGAGTTAAGCCCAGTCCCCTGGGACAGAACAGGTTACAGTGACAACTGTTTGGGTTAAGAGTTAAAGTACCTACAGTACATATATGCAGTGCTGGATTTAGGCATGTGCTAACTATAGAACAAGTTGGGGCATTATTAAATTCTTTTTGGGTTGTTTGAGTGTGTTCACAGAAGCAGTTTTTTTAACAGAACCATTAAGAGAATTATATAATTTCTGCGATTTTGCAAACACTTTCATAATTATTTCTTTTACTACAAATTAAACGACAATATTAATATATTTCAATAATCTGTATATTTTAAAGTAATTTAAAGCGGTATATATTGGAGAGTTTTTTTTTTAGATTAGCTAGTGTAGTTTAGGGGACTGAAGGCTTTATAAAGATTAGGATCTCATCAAGACAATCTATTTCTGGTCCCTGCCTCCAATCCAAAGAGTCTTAGTAAGACGTACACAAGAACAGCTGGTTCAATCAAGCAAAAATTAACAACTTTAAATTACCATAGTATCTTTCCTAACAGTTCACATAGATGGTAACAGAAATGTATTCCTTTTAACTTAAGAGACATTTGTGATCAAACTTTCAAGATACAAAATCTAAATTTACCTTTCAAATCGTGAGATGCCTTCATGGTGGATAATGTGTATATTTGAAATAATAATTTCCCGGCTAATTGTTCAATAAAGTGTAAACGAAACAACTGTGTTCTACGAGAAGTGTTACTGTTACCTTCACTGCCACCAGTAAACTGGTTTAAGGTCAAAGAATGCTTTAACTTACTCGTTTTTCCCCAGTCGCGTGGTGTGAGCTACAACTCACAAACTGTCAACAAACAGTTCAAACGTCTGCTAGGTCTATGACCGCCACGTTAGCCAGCTGCTGCAGATTTCTCGGACGTGGACAGTCAAGTTACGAGTTATGATTTGGATTATCCACGCGGCACTACGGGCCCGTCCAAAAGTGCTTAGATACCCCCCTTCAACATACACCCCTTCCTGCGGTTATTAGTGTCATCACTGTGTTGGTTAACAAGACCTCTTGTACGCACGGTGTGCCTCTCGTGCCTGGTTGTGTCATTGCCTTACTTCTGCTGTTGGCAGGGGCCCTAGTATAAGCCTAACGGTTGAAAGGGGCTGGCCGTGGAAAGGGGTTTCTGGGACTTGCGCCCGTGTGATTCTCATCTGAAAGGTGGCACTTTGTGTCAGTGTGTTTATCGCTCGTTGTGCAGTCCTGATGGAGTTGAACTTCATTCATGCTAGAAAGAGGAGGGCAAATGAAGAAAGTAAAGAAAGTAAAGGACCTAAACATCTTCTTCTTCTTCTTCTTCTTCTTCTTCTTCTTCTTCTTCTTCTTCTTCTTCTTCTTCTTCTTCTTCTTCTTCTTCTTCTTCTTCTTCTTCTTCTTCTTCTTCTTCTTCTTCTTCTTCTTCGGCATTCTACACCCTTGAGGTTTATTTTTGAAGATACCAACCATACCTGTTAATCTCTGTGATTTGCCATGTCTCTCCAGTTAGTTACCACAAGTGTTTGTAGATCTGTCGGCAAGCGACGGAACTTGGAGACTAAAGCACTGCTTTAGCTCTGTTTCGAATTGAATGCGTTGAGCTAAGAACCGAAATCGCAGCACACCAGACATCACTATACAGGCTCTGTTAACGTTTTCATCAGCCAGGGAAGAATTCCAATTTTTGATGGGACCAGTGACAGTTGAATATTCTTTCTCGCTTCTTTTCTTACCGCTTCGGGTGTCGAGGGAGATGTAAGATTCTGCTCCTTGTTTTTCTGACTGCCTTAAACATAGACCCATCGTACTGTTGTAGAAGTTATCTGATATTATCTTTTCATCTTGTCTTTGGTCTATCTTATGCTCTACGCCATTCTCCTCTTTTGGTGTGTGCCTTGTTTGGTATGGCGTCACAAGGCATTCTATCTAAATGGGAAAACTTCTGTGAAATCCGGCGGAAGGTTTTGGTTGCTTTTCCACCTCTTGACTTTAGTCTCTTTCCAGTACCTGAGTGTGCTCATCCATTTAACAGATCTGACTTAATACGCAAATTGTTGGTTCCTTGACTCTCAGGCAGATGCACTCAGACTTCAAAGGAAGTGCCCAATTAGTCTACTCTTACGACATGCTTGTTAGGGAGGCAGTGGGTGTATTCTTGTTTTCTCCACAATGGGACACCGGAACCCACACAGTGAAATGAGAAAACTATTTGATTTGCTGTCTTTGTATGTAATTTAAAAACGGTTCTCTGCCAACTTTTTCTCTTATTTCTGATTTGATCTTTTCTGGTCACTCCTGCAGCCATTCTCAGACATCTCACTTTTGTGGTTACTGCATTTTTTTTTTTAATGGTTTGTGGTTAGTGTCCATGTCTGGCACGGGTAGCAAAGAGTGTGAATAAATATGCTCTGTATGAGATGTCTTCTAATGTTGTAAAAAAGGGAGGCTAGCTGTCCCAGTACTTGGTTTGCTTTACTGCATCAGATCTTTTGTGCTCCATCAAATATTCCATCTTGGGTGCATTTTGTACCTATGACAGTCTATTCACGACAATCTGTTGTACCCATGACAGTATTTTGTACTCAGTACCGTCTATTGTACCGAGGACAGTGTGTTGTACCCAGGACAATCTAACTAAAGACATGATAGATGGAGGTATTGTTTGTTTGTTGGGATAGATGGCACATATGAGGAAAAAAGAAATGTTAAGACCAAGTTAGATGAGCATACACACAATTAACAAAACTGAGATTATGACCAAAAGCCCTTACCGGCAAGCAAAACAAAAACAAATCAGACACGCCATTAAACAGTGTTCCATGTTAATATATTTGTGTATTTCGTTTTGTTTGAAACAAATAAAGGCATCAACACCTCTTAGGTCATCATCATCATCATCAGTTCTCGTTATGCCTAGTGGCACATGAGCTTCAGAGAGGACTTTCCATGCTTTCCTGTCCTAAGCAATCTTCAGTGCAGTTTTCCATATCAAAGATGCCGCACTCAGGTCACTTTCCATCGTTCGTCTCCATGTTGTTTTTGGACGCCCCTGTTTTCTCTTTCCCTCTGGTGTCCATGTGAGAGCTGTTTTATCAGGTATATCAGAAGTCATTCGCATAACGTGGCCAAGCCATTTCCATCTTCTCTTGGTAATCATACTGTCTAAAGTTTCTAGGTTTGTGACTTGAAGTAGTTTAGTGTTTGAGATTGTATCTGGCCAGAAAATTTTGATAATTATACGTAGACATGTGTAGTGAAAGGTGGACAGCTTGTGTGCATCCTTTTTGGTCATTCTCCAGCATTCCGCTCCATAAAGAAGAACTGGCAAAATGATGCTCTGCAGTAATTGTTGGATTTCCAGATTTGCCTCATCCTTCCAAAAGCAGCTCTAGCTTTGTTCAGACGTATGTCTTCCTCTGTCCCTCCCAGAAGGGACACCACACTGCCAAGATATGTGAAATATTCTATATTTTTAAGTGATTGGTTATTTATGGTCACTGGTTGTTGGTTTGGACTGTTTGTCATGATCTTAGTTTTCTTTGTATTTACTCTCAGTCCCACCATTTCTGCAGTGCAGTTTAGTTTGTTACTTTTCTCTTGTATATGTTCATGTTTATGTGATAGGAGTGCTATATCATCTGCAAAATCAAGGTCCTCAAGCATGGTGAATGGAGTCCATCGTATGCCTCTTAATGTCCTGTCTTCTGTGTTCTTTAGTATCCAATCAATCACAAGGTTGAAGAGGAGAAATGACATAACACATCCCTGTCTCACACCCGTCTTTACTGGGAAAGATGTATTGTAATTTTTTATACTGCAGGAAAAGTCTTTATAGAAGAGAGCAATTATGTTGACTATTTTTTCTGGAATTCCATAATGTCGTAAAATTTTCCACAGACCGTCTCTATGGACGCTGTCAAAAGCTTTCTAAAAGTCCACAAAATTAATATATATACTTCTCTGCCATTCGTTGCATTGTCTCTTATGTCATACTAGATGATATTCTTGTAAAGCTGGTCTGCACCACTTTATGTTTTTTTCCATTGATTTCCATATATATATATATATATACGTACAGTCGTTGCGTACACAGTACACAAATATTAACACATCGAAGAACTGAGCAGAGATGAGTTGCCTTTGACCCAGTCCTCAAAAGATTGCAATGAAGCATGCATCTCTTTGGTGGCCGAGAGGTTGTAGCGTTGGTCAACTCGCTGGAAGAACTGGAACATGTTTGCCCAATCGGCGCTCCTACTGTCACTTGCTCTTCTTTTGTGGAAATCATAAGTCGTCAGCTGTTGGTGCAAGAAATAACGGGATTATAGACAAGAGGTAAGACATAACGGTTTCGTTAAAACAGATAAGAAATAAGAACAATAAATAATAGAATTGTAATAGCAGATAAGCAGTAAAAAGAAATGTGCGGACAAATACCCGTATCGACTGCAATAAGACAAAGATATATTAGGCTCACTCTGAGATGAAATGAGCAAAGAAATTTTTTAAAAGTACTGAAATGGGAAAAATACGAACTGAGGGGACAGACATTTCCAAGGGTATCATTAAGAAGAGCATTATTAAGAGAGGCAAAAAAAAAAAAAAAAAATGCTGGGCTGAACTCAATGTAATAACTTTAGAACGTTGCAAGCAGGGGTTTCCCACCCTTTTGTGGGTCGTATGACCCTTTCACAGGGGGTCGCCAAAGACCATCGGAAAACACATATTCACTAAACATGTGAAGTAACAACGAAAATTATTTTACGGTTGTGGGTTGCCACAACATGAGGAACTGTATTAAAGGGTCGCAGCTTTATAAAAGAGAGAAGCAAATGAATCGAATGCAAGCCCTGAGTGGCGTCTAACGGCGTGGGACGGATGCTGATGAGCAAAAAGAGAGAAGTAACGAATTCATGACCACAAGTATAGTAAAACTTCGATTAACCGAAACTCGTTTAGCTGTTAGTTTCTGTTATCCGTCATCATCTTGAAAAGAGAGGGGGAGGAAAAAAAAAGAGAAACAACATAAATAAAGCCTATTTGGAATATAGGGCTAGACATTTATTTTTTATAGACCAATCGGCTCTGACACAATTTGAATGAAGGACGCAATTTTCACTGCTTGCCACTGCTCTGAGTGACATTGCAGTGTCTAACCAAAAGATTGGGCGGGACCAACTCTTGCCTGAACCAACTCTTGCCTGAACCATTTCTTGCCTGAACCAACTCTTGCCTGATCCCAACTCTTACAACTAAAAAAACTATTGGGAATATAGGGCTTGACATATCTTGCCTGAACCAACTCTTGCCTGAACGAACTCTTGCCTGAACCAACTCTTGCCTGAACCAACTCTTGCCTGAACCAACTCTTGCCTGAACCTACTCTCGAAACTGAAGACACTATGACTGCAAGTGTTTGATTAAATTGTGCCAAAATGTAGGGCAAGGACACAGAAGGAGATGACACATTATTTTAAAGAAACATAAGTTTATAGTGTCACAATTATATAAAACGTTGTGTAAAATTGAATACAGTATTTGCGTATTATTCACTTTAAAATGATTTTATGTTATTTTCTTCACCGGCGCGCAAGTGAAATCACGTTACTCTACATATTTATTAGAAGACTAGCTGTGCCCTGCCACGCGTTGCTGTGGCCCCGAATGGTGAAATGGAAAAGATAGAAAGTAGCTCTCAACTAACAGTGTCTGTCATAACCCACAACCCCCGTCCCTCTCCCCTCCACCCAGTCATATCTCCCTCTCCGAAGGAAAAAAAAAATCATCACCTGGCGAAATTATTAAAATAGAAATAGTTAAGAAATGATAACTTTAAAATAATGTTTTAAGCTCTCTCAGTTAACAGTGTCTGCCATCAACCCCCCCCCCCCCCCCCCCCCACTAATCATATCATCCTCGCCGAAGGATGGGAAAGTCATCATCTGACGAAATATTGTAACTGAACTGAGCTTTGCATCCGTGTCCACCGAGAGACAGATGGATAGCATTAATGTGTAATGAGAAGCAAATGTGGCTAGTGTAACAGCTACCACATCACCCATCCAGTACCAGTACTACTGCTATCACTACCACCACCACCTTCAGATAAAAATCAAAAAACAGTCACTACTGTCTGTGCAGGTTGGTGTAGCAAGAGGGGTTAGAGCTGCATGATGTCGCCACGGACTGTTTAGTGTAATTGAGCTCCCAACAAAGAAAAAGAAAACTCACAGTAATAGTCCGTTCTATACTCACAAATAGAGGAAATAAAAACCCCCACCCATCATCTCCCCTCTCCAAAGGCACGAATGTTAAATGACCTTGGCATCTGTGTCCATCCAAAGTAAACTGGACTGTAAGCAGTCTTAGTTAACAGCTTCTGCCATCTACGAATAGTTTATCATCGAGTTAAGCATCGCGGGGAGGATAAATTGGACTTAACTGAAATCGGATATCTTTGGGCGAAAGGTGCAGATATCGCAGCCTAACTGTAAATCACAACACAACATGTCAACAGCCCTCTTGAGGAAAAAAGAAAAATTAGCACCCAGTGGGTAATTGAACACCGGTCAACCACGTGAAGGTTGGGTTACGTACAAATATATTACATAAGACTAAAGAGATTGGGTCCGATATCGCAGCCTAGCTGTAAACCACAACACAACGTTCCAACTGCCCTCTCAAAGGCGAACGAAGATTACCCGTGACATGACCAACATCTCGTCGCCGCTATCGCAGGCAAGCTGTAAACTCCAAATCGAGCGGAAAGAAGACGTAGATATCGCAGCCTAGCTGTAAACCACAACAAAACGTGCCAGGCGCTTAGTTAATGCAAAAATTTTTTTTATCACCTAGCGGGACAATGATAGCCAGTCACCCACGTAACACGCAAAATAGACAACTACGCTACCAAGGACTCAAGCATCTGCCCAATTATATCTCTCTCTCCGAATGATTGAAACATTATTATGTAGCGACATTGTTAAAATAGAAATAGTTTAGAAATGAGAAATTAAAAAAAAAATGTTTTAAGCTCTCTCAGTTAACAGTCAAAGGTGGCCAATTCATTAAAAATAAATCCGGGCGGGCAATAAAACAAATAATGATTTGACCGTTGCTGAAGCTACGACGTTCATGGTTTGTGCGATTTTATGACCCAAAAAATAACGCTTTGAGTCAGAGGCAACGTTGTGTGAAAATTTGAAAGCAATCGGTTCAGTAGTTTCCGAGTTTAGGGCTAACGACACCGGCAAATTAACATTTGTATTAATATAGATTTTTATTATCCGTCTATTCGGTTATCCGTCACAGCTCTGGTCCCGACGGTGACGGTTAATCTAAGTTTCACTGTTATACATTTTACACAAAAATATAATTCTGACCTGCACAGTTCGTGGCGACTGTACTTATCAAGCAGCTTTAACTCCTCAGGCTAACGACCAACCCAACCTATCCCTCAACCCAGGTCCTATTCTATACTGCCTTAATAATGATAAAGGCAAGAGTTGAGACAGTTTAAAAAAAAAGTCATTTAATAGGAAGACACACACACACACACACACACACACACACACACACACACACACACACACACACACAGATTAAAAGAGAAATCTAACAATAAATAACAAATCTGTAATAGAGGGCGAGAAATAATAACTTTAAAAAATGATCTAAATTATGAATTAAAAATAAAGACGAAAGAACAGACGAAGCCATATTTTCGCGTCTATACATGACGTTTACCAATGCTGACTTGTCAGGAAGCAGGCGTAACCGAGGTCGGATCGCCGTGGTGTTGGCGGCTATACGCCCGCCTGCTGACGAAGCCGGACTTTTTTTTATTTTTAAGAAATGACCTTAACCACTAGGTCGACCCAGCCCTGAGTGGGTACCAGGTGCAGTCCTATGAAGTAAAGATGGCTGGCGTGATTGCTGACTACATCCCCCACTAAGTGCCGATTGGTCTATAAAAATAAAGGTCTAGTCCTTTATTCCTAACAGGTCCTTCTGTATATAAAGTACAAATGTCACCCCCCTCCCCCCTTTACGGCTCCTCTGATGCAACAATACACTCTCAGAATCAAAGAGTTAGCACTGATATTTCTTTACTTTTGCTGGAATAACTTTCGGTTTATATCCAAACGTTATTGATGTTTATGTTCATGTTGACTGTAGCAAAAGCATTTTTGTTTGTCTGTAAGAGCCTTTATTGCTTTATAGCACACTTATTTACCTTAAAAATGACGTATAGTTCTATAAAATGTGTCGAAAATTATTGAAACTGTAGTTTAATTTGTGTATACATCTCCTCGATAAAAACTGTGGACGCAGAGGGACTCAATTTTTTCACAAGAACGGGAATCGCCGTTGACCTGTTTGGCCTATAAATGAAGAAGGCCGTGATTCCTAATACGTCTAAAGGCATGAAAAAGGTTCCTCTACTTTGTGTATACCGAGACACATGAAAAGAGAACATTCAGGCATGGTGGTGGTTTGTGAGGGGGGGGGGGGGGGGGGGCTCGATTTAAGGGTATCAGCACCTCTAAGACATTGAAAAAGTGGAGAGCGAGCTCTACAAGAGCTTCCAGGTCCCGGGACTGCTGTTTCACATTGAAACTATGCTTTTTATTTTACCTGCTTGTTTCGGCCTAAGATGCTTTGTCAAGATGTAGGCCATCTCCGCAACAGTTAGCTTGTCGCCACAAACACTGAGTGTCTTGTGCAGATAGGTCTCTCTTTGACTGAGCACAGACACGACGATAGGGCCGATGTCTTCCACGCTGATCATATCTAATGGAATGGTTCCCATGGGGATTTCTGGGAATTAAACAAACAGCAACAATTAAAACGGTAAAATATAACAAATAGTAAAAATACCATATGTGAAATGAGATGCTACAAGAAAGCCGCCAACTTGAACATCACTGACAAAGTGAGAAATCATACCGTCATCTGACAAACTGTGGGAAAAACGACATGAGCTAAATTCATTGAGAAACAGAAGATTAATTGGTTTGGTCATCTTTTAGAATGCAACTACGAACATAGATGCTACACATAAGAAATCTGATGTGAAAGCAAGATATCGCCGTAGCACAAGAGGAATTAATGACATTGAAGACTTACCGGCAACATTTGAAATTGATGATGATGACGATGATGATGATGATGACGTGAAACAATTGTTGTTAGGCAGTAGGTCTATTTTCCCTTTCCCCCACTTTCACAATGTGGCCCCGGAACCTATAAGGGAATGATGATGATGATGATGATGAGGATTAATTCTGGCCTATTCCCGGTGAGTTAAATCAATTTACCAATGTCGTAACTAAAACCATCAGACGTCTTTGGCCTCAAGAAACCACACAAATCCTGGTAGTAGACCGGCAGAATCAGACAGGTCAAGGGCAGGTCAAGGTGACGCATGTATCGCTCTATTTCAGCTTTAGCAACAAGATGTCGGGCCATGATCTTGCAGATGTTGTTGGAGTGAAGCTGGGAAATGAAGATTACGTGGCGGACATGTTCCTGGAGGTGAAGAAGAAAAGAAAAAGTGTCATTTTCTTGAATAATTACTAGTTACACTCCGATTTCAGTCAGGTTTCGGTCAGATATGACGGACCTACCGTGTATAAAGTAGTCGATATAACCTGTTTTATGCTAATGTCGAATGCTGGGCAGCCTATACCAAACCCGACATTGCACATTGCGCAAATGGTTTCAAGCAGAGCAAGAGCTGGGCACGATAGTTACATTATCCTAGGAAGAGGAGATGCAACGTGAACAATTAATGTTATCACAGGGTAGAGATCACATTCTTAGTCTCCAGTCTGCGGCAGATCTAGGAGGGAAGCGGAGGCAGGCGGGCTGAGTTGTCTTTGTGATCTACTAGCTTCTGCAGTATGCTTTCTTCCAAACGTATTGATGTTACCTTTCCTTTGGAGTAAACAAGGCAGGGATCATGCGGCATGGCAACACATGGTATCTACAATACTGCCGAGGCTTTGTGCTATGGAGAGGAGGAGTTTCAACCCTGGCCTAAATTGTCTGTTATTCCCATGCATGTCTAAAACACAAAAAACATCATCGTCTGGAAAGAAGGAAAAGTGTCAACACACCAAGAGCTCTTCGAATAGACAGATAGCAACGCAATCTTTCTTAACTGACGCCATAGTTAAGTAGATTCAAGTAAAGAGGTAAATGATACTTGGGGGAAACTGAGTGTATGGTAGGAAATGTTCTCCTTTAGCACTGCTGTTGCTAGGTTAAACAGTTCAATGATGGGAACTGAATATGAGCAAATCCCAGAAACCCAGACCGACCGTTGTCTTTGGGCACCCCTGGGTTAATTTTGGTAGATATTCAACATCACGACGTTCATGAAAAGCCCATATTAGCTCCGTCTTCCTCCTCAACAGTAAGCAAAGAGTCTTAACACTGGTAGTACCCGTCGTCATCTGGTTAACTACTCGTCTTGAATTTTCCTGAGTCTCGAGTGGTGCCAAGAACCTGTAGACATTCCCTGCGGCATCAGTTTCTCCAGGTATGCGAGTTTTCAAAATCTTCCATTTTACTTGTTACCTCGCTCCACAGACGAGAGATCACAGTTGGCTTGTAAAGTTGCACTACATCCCCAGTTGAGGCCAGTCCAACCAAACCTTGTACCTGCTCATTCTCAAACATGCCTAATTGTCCTAGCAAAATATTCACGTGACTCTCATCAGCTGCGATCTCTTACGAAAAAACCGGACTCCATTTTCATGAGTATTTACAGGGACAGGAAGTAGCCTGCTATTCTCGGTGTTTGGGAGTATAATACCGAAAATATACATGGTTTTGTTTCTTGTAAAAAAAGTACACATAAAAAAGACGCTAGTATTCGGCACATAGTATCACAAAGGGGTGCCACGTACTCACCATAAAGTGATGCCTAATACAGCACCTGAAAAACATTATGTGTTACAAAATCGGTGTCGGTCATGCTTACCATGTGGTATCGCCAGAAAAAAAGTCCCATGTATATGGTGCTATGGCAATACATTTTATAGAGCAATCAGTACCTATGCATGAAATTCTCAAGATTCTGGCCATATTTGCTTCCCATAAATGTATTGTGCAAGTTTTAGACTAGATAGAACTGGGCGGGATCTACATAATTTTTCTTTTTCAGCAAGCTCACACCCTGCCTTCAGTTAAATTGTTTTTTTGGAATTGTCAGACCAACACAACATAAAAAAAACTATACTGCATACAAACCTTAAATATTCATCAAAACCTGAATAAAACAGACAAATCTAAATTAAAATCATGCAAACCTCAAGTTAACCTCACACAAACCTCAAAAGAACCTCCAATAAAGTGCATTATACAAAAGATCATAGTTTTTTTCCCTCTTCGCTAGGCTGCGATATCTGCGCCTCTACGACCAACAGATCCGACTTCAACATATCCCTAATTAGCCACCTGTCAAGACAACGATTTTTTATGGGCATTGTGCCCCATGCTCCCTACTTCCCCCTTAACGACTCCAAGACATTTAGAACTGGCCCTAACCCTAACCCACCATGGTCCAACGAGAGACTGCAGCCCAGGTCCCACGACTGTATGCAACCTAGGTCCCACGACTGCATGCTGCCAGTTTATCACCCCCTGAAATATTAGACTGTCCTGTGACCTGTGAATTCCCCTGTCTGGGGTAGGATATTAAAAAAGCACCCAAATCACCATTACCGCAGTCAGAAGAAACATGATAAGAACTTACAGATTTGCAAACATCAGCCACAAGACAACCCTGAGTTATCTCCTTCTCGACGCAGTCAGGGTCGTCAAAATTGGTGCTTGTACTTAGAAAACAGGCGTGCGCTCCAGACAGAATCTTCTGTAACTGAGCCCTTGTAGAAATGACAACACTCGCTGTTACAATTGCCAAGATAATTCAGCGATGAAAACTATTATGTAGCTTGCAGTTATATTAGTATAGTCTTCTTCTTTAGGGAAAGTGGCCCATAAACAGCATCTTGTCCTCCGAAAGCTCAGGTATTTTGGCCATGTTAAACAACATGGTGGCCTGGAGAGAATTGTGATAGAGGGTACCGCTTCCTGAAAACGAGGCTGTCAGAACTCCCAAGAAGGTGCATACAAGACATACAAGCTGTACCGGCTGTGAAAGCCCACAGTGCTGGAGAATTGGTTAAAGACAAGAAAACCTTCATGCGTGCCGTAAGGAGTACGACGTTGTGTAATTGACCTGTGGACTGATGATTCTGCTTTTTTAAGTCATGGTGGCATTGGTTATAACGTATATTCACAACCTTCTTTGGAAAAACATGAACAAGAAACAACCTTCTATCTCGTATTCTGACATTCATTTCTGATACAGATGGGCTTCCATACCATGATGTCAGATTGGTAATCAAGACTTCTGCCTTTGCCAAGATGTGCCTCTTTTCCTCCTGACGTTCCTGTTGGTGTGGTTAGCAGTGTTGCCACTTTAGATGTTTTTTGTCAAAGAAAAGTGGCAACACTGGTGGTTAGCTCAGGTGTTTATTGTCATAGTATACACAAACGTATTTATGAGAGGCATAAACAGAAACAGGCAGTCTCCTGCAGTTTATATTTCACCTCAGCACCGTAAAATACTTCCTTCTCTTCTGCTTGTCCACTTACCACAACCTCCACAGCCTGTGTAATTGCCATCTCAATTGTGAGAATGAAACAGGCACAATTCCCGGAATCTCCATTCAACCGTATAGCCACAAGACACTGTTATGTTGTGGCACCCTCTCACCTGAGAAGGCCACCGACCGATGTAGGAAACGTCTGTTTTCCACTTATCGAGACGGTTTGTTTTCCACCTAAATGCTACCTGGCCAAACCCAATATCTTGCTGTTGCTTGAAAAGAGCTTGAAACGCAAGACACCAGAGGAATAAGACAAGATGAAGAGAGATACTAATTATCACAATAAAGATCATACACAGAAACAGAACATCAAGAGCGACAGTCACTCCTAGTAACATTGTGGGGAAAAGGGGTGCCATAAGGCAACCATGTAGTAACTAGCTGTTCATGAAAGAAAGTCAAATGACCAAGCAGCGAACGGTAAGAAACGAATAAAACCTAACACGTGGTGATACATTTAGTCTATGAAAGTGACATGAAAATGCACAGACGCATCTATGTACCCGCCATCTTTTTTCATTGTAGCGACTGTTAAATGAAAATATTCTGAAAACTACTGGTATCTTCCCTTTTAAGAGGCGGTGGACGCTGCCTAGTTTTGGCAGTGTCGAGTCGTGCAGGTTACACATTTCATTGCAAAAGAAAAATGCATTATTTTATAATTCATTATTTTTGTTTATTACAAATATAGTAAAAAGGACGCTCGTTGCATGCTTACGTCCCTCATGCAGAAAATATAACATGTGGAAGCTACCAGCTAGCAGTACCATGATATATGATACTAGCTGCGCACGCATACTCTCAACATCTAAGTGACAAGAAGGAAAATATCACGTGATGCCCTCTAAAGTGACATGTTTACCTGCTAGCGATTACACATGCGAACCGAACACGCATCGCAACTAAAAAAAAAAAAAAATCAGCCAGGCGTGTATGACAGCACCAGAATACAACGTCTAGAAAACAGGTTTGCTAGTCACTGCCATGTTGATAATCCCGTTAACTTTAGTAGGCGCTTCAACCCGGGAGCTCAGGTCTCTTGAGGGACCCCCCCCCCCCCCAGCCCCCATTCTCCCACCCCTCAGTGCCCAATTTTATCTTCTTTTTTTTTTTTTTCAACCACATGAGTTCCATTCTCAAATTTCCTTCCTAGAAAATGTGTATGCCGAAGGTGGGAGGAGTTTAGTTTGTGGTGACGCGCCTGATTATACATTTTTTAAATGGTAGACAATTATAGGGAAGAGAAAAGGTTGGGAAGAAAGAACAAATAGTTTTCGTTAGCTTTACCAAATCAATCACAACAAACAAACAAAGGACGTTGCGGCGATTAGTATTCATCAGCACATAAAGAACAACACAGTACACATACACAAATATGCTCTAACTATGAAGTGACTACATAGGACTCTAATGTACAAAATACATGATACTTATCTGTGTCCCTGGCGAAAAAACGTTGTTCAACACGATGACTTTAGACGCAATCTGACCTCGACTCTTACCTGTCTCTGAGGTCACACGGCACAGCGAGGGGAATATTTCCCTGCAAATTCCAACTCCCTTCATTCAGTAAATTGTTTGTGATGCCTCGAACCTCAAACTCTTCCGATGAAGCCACGGCCCTGGCCACTGAACATCCCAGCTGCCCAGTGATGTCCAACACGACCACTGTCTTTCTAGATGACATGGGGAGATAATTCCGGCCGAAACTTTGTGTTCGCGGTCAGACTTCCAGTTTGTGAAGAATAAATATTAAGTGTAAGAAACTCATTCGTGTTGTTGTTGGTGGTGTGATGGTGGTGATGATGATGGTGATGACGATAGCTGTGTTATGAACTCATTTTGATAAACTCAACACCTCGGGATCGAATTAGCTGGAAGAGACCCTGGCCACTTTGCGTTGATTTTGACAATATTATGCACGTCGGTCGCACAGGGAGTAATGGCAAACTACTGAACATTAAATTGTCTTGTAAGACCACAAATAGATAATAAATATTGGGGTCGATTCTATAGCGTCCCATAAAGGATCCGCAACTAATGTATTGCTGTAGGATACACCGTTAGATTTCATGACTGGCTGAGCTCTGTGTATTGAAATCGTCTTCATGTTCACTGGCTGTAAACTTCATCGGAAACTTCCGTTTGTTCATCCACGTCTAGACTTTAGACTTGATCTAGAAGCTGAGTGTTGCGTACACATCCATTTTTACAGATCTGACTCATCTGTATGCAGACTGTTGGTTCCTTGCCTCCCAGACAGATGTACTCAGACTTCGAAGGAAGCTCCTAGTTAGTCAACTCTTACGACATGCTTTGGGTAGGCAGTAGGTATATTTTTGTTTTCCCTATAATAGGGCTCTGGAACCCAAACAGGAAGTAAAAGAATATAAAGTCAGATCTGGCTGGCAGCCTGTGAGAAAACATCTTAGACAGTTTTAAAAAAAAATAATGCTGACACAAACACTACATTGTCTGAGTGGCTTCTGGACTTCCTCCTTAGCAAGCATGTTGTAAACGGCTACTTATTAAGAGTAGTTTGTTGAATTCAGATTTAGTGGGTTCAAGGCGCAGCCTAGCTGTAAACCACAACTTGCTAACAGCTCTTTAAAGGGCGAAACAGAAGAAGAATAAGAAAAAGGAGGAGGGGCAGAAGAAACCTTCCATCTCTTTGAATTTAATGCCAGAAGACTTGGTCTCCCTTCACAGACCGCATGACTTCCTTAGTTCCAGCAACGACATACAGGCATGTCTGAAATAGTTGCATTCGTGATCTAAAAATCAGACCTAAAACTTCGTAGTCAGTGGAAAACAACCCGAACAGCTTAGTCAGCTGCCGAAGTTGGTACCCTGGTACAAATTTGCGATAATAGACCCTTGCCGAACAAAACTGCTTTTGGGACGACGCACGAAGTTTTGGGACGACGCACGGTGTTTTGGGACGACATACGATGTTTTGGAACGGCGTACGGTGTTTTGGGACGACGCACACTGTTTTGGGACGACGCACGGTGTTTTGGGACGACATATGATGTGTTTGGGACGACATGCGATGTTTTGGGACGACATATGATGTTTTGGGACGACATACGATGTTTTGGGACGACGCACACTGTTTTGGGACGACGCACGGTGTTTTGGGACGACGTATGGTGTTTTGGGACGACGTACGGTGTTTTGGGACGACATACGATGTTTTGGGACGACATACGATGTTTTGGGACGACATGCGATGTTTTGGGACGGCGCAGGAAGTTTTGGGACGACATACGATGTTTTGGGACGACGCACGGTGTTTTGGGACGACGCACGAAGTTCTGAGACGACGCACTATGTTTTGGGACGACGCACGGTGTTTTGGGACGACGCACGGTGTTTTGGGACGGCGCACGGTGTTTTGGGACGACGCATGTTGTTTCAGTGGCAAAAGAAATTGTGCAGCAATGATGTAATAAACACAAAATTTCATTTCTGGTCCAAAAAAAGTTAATCCAGTTTTAAACGTATTTTGCAGAAACGTTTAAATTGTTATGTAGTTTGAAAAAAAAATATTGGGGGTACCTTTTGGTGTGTTTTATACCTTTTCAAGAAAGATTTGGTACTATTCCCCCCAAAAGTGTCGACAGCCCTGGCGCTGATGTCACACTGACCTGTCTTGTAACTATGTCCCAGGGGCAGTGGAACTTAGAGGCCCAGGCACCTTCTAGCCCCATCTCCAAATTTCTTAGTACGATAAAGGGGCTGAGCGACCCCTAGCAATAATTAGCGGGAGAGGGTAGGGGGTCGTGAGAAAATTTATAAAGGAGTTAAGTGTGGTTCCCCTTACGATGTGCACAAGTTCTTGTTTTATTACGTGTTTTATTATAATTTTTTTTTTAATTTCAGACGAATTATTATAAATGTCTGCCAGTCCCTACATAATAATAATAATAATAATAATAATAATAATAATAATAATAATAATAATAATAATAATAACAGCAATAACAGTAATAACAAAAATAACAATAATAGTTATTATTATCGCGCATTCGAACAAGGTAACCCTAAAACAACTTGCCGGTCGCGACACCTTTTGGGGGGGGGGGGGGGGTCGAACGACCCTTTTACAAGTATCGCCTAAGACCAACGGAAAACACAGATTCGTTGAAGTTGTGTAGGATAATAATTGACTGGGGGGTCGCCAC